TCTATCGCATTATTACACATACTAGGTTCTAACGGCAAAAGGCATTTACATAAATGCCTTCATCATACCAAAGTGGCGTGATTAGCCTCCATTGCTCTGCAGGGTCAGGTGGGGCTACTTATGCACCCAGTTTGGCCAGAAGCAGTTGCCAAGAACCTACAATTTACAATTCATTACTATCGTGTACTGAATATGTACATGCCAAGAAGCAAGAATTGGGCATAGGAATATAAATAACTGGCAGAAAGAGAAGACAAAAAGAAAGCGTAAAAGGATCACAGTAATTATAGCAGAGCCAAATGTAAAAATTGGGGACTAAATGTGATTTTCAAGTCAAAACCAGGCAAAAATTTTCTTTCAGGGCTATTCATGCCTGTCCTAATCACATATCATTTTTTTTTGTAATAATGTTGCATGTACAAATTACCAATCTTTTTTAGTTTTTTGAGACATAGTTTCATTCTTGTTGCCCAGGCTAGAGAGCAGAGGCATGATCTCGGCTCACTGCAACCTCTGCCTCCCAGATTCAAGTGATTCTCTTGCCTCAGCTTCCCGAGTAGCTGGGATTACAGGCGCCCACCTAGCTAATTTTGTATTTTTAGTAGAGACAGGGTTTCTCCATGTTGGTCAGGCTGGTCTTGAACTCCTAACCTCAGGTTATCCACTGGCCTCAGCCTCCCAAGTTCTGGGATTACAAGTGTGAGCTGCCTAGCCTGGCCATATTACCAATCTTAAGACATATTTGTTTTGAAGAATGTGTTGAACCTTACTTTCTGTCAAAACCTGATCTAATCTCCTTCAGATCTTGTCATCTTATACAGTCTTCTGGGATATTGTATCCACTGTAAGGTTCTCGGTATGACCATCAAAATTACTGGCAGAGGTTTTAATTAAGAAACATGGTCAGACCATCACACTCCACCCAACCGAGATCTGAATAAACGAGTCAACAGTGGGTCATGGGCATGTTTTAAAAAGCAGTTCTTTAGGCAGTTCTAACATGGATGTAGCACTGAAAGACATTGCTACTTTAAGATAAAAATCATTCAGATCATATTTATGTCAAATTGTGATAGGATTACCTTGATTCCAGGTCCAATAAATGACACACAGCTATTTCATCAGTAATTTAAATAGCTTTCATGTTCTCTAACAGTTTAGTCTCTTCCTGCTTCATACTATACACACACATTGTTTTGTTGTGTTTTGTTTTTGGGAGGGAGTCTCTCTCTTGTTGTCCATGCTAGAGTGCAGAGGCACAATCTCAGCTCACTAAACCTCCACCTCCCAGATTCAAGTGATTCTCCTGCTTCAGCCTCCTGATAGCTCAGATTACAGGCACCTGCTCCCACGCCCAGCTAATTTTTGTATTTTTAGTAGAGACAGAGTTTCACCATGTCGGCCAGGCTGATCTCAAACTCCTGACCTCAGGCAATTTACCCTCCTTGCCCTCCCAAAGTACTGGGATTACAGGCTTGAGCCACCACACTCAGCCTATTCACACTTTTAATAGAAGAAAAGAATAATCAAAATATATTATTGTCGAAAAAAATTTGAATCTCTTTTAAAAATAACATTTTCAACAGGCATGTTTAAAACTTTTCTGGGCTATTGTTTTCAGAAACTGCAGTTGAATGAGTACAAAATTCACCACAGAATAGAGGCTTCTGTCTACCTAAATATCGCTGATTGTTGGATCCACAGTAGGAAATTTTCACTTATTGTTACAACCAGCTATATATAAACCCCAAAGTATGGGTAGACTTAAAAAATAGATGTTCGATTTGTTACAACATTTTATTAAATTGAATATTTCCCCCAATTGAAAGAGTTTCAACAATTTAATAGATGTCTCACAGCTAGCATTATTGTATAACTAGTTATGCTCCCTAAAATCTCATTGCTTTCCTGCTGATAAGAGCTATTAAATATCAGCATGAATTTCTTGACCTTCTCCAGGGGGGAGTACGAACTATTTCTTGTCAGTTCTCTACTTCTTATACATGTGGAAAACCCTACTCATCAGTGACAGCTTTAATATTTAAGCAGATGGACTAGGATGACTGTTTTCTGTGGAGGTGCAAAATACTTCCAATTCAGGTTTTTGAAAAATAAAATAGCTTCTATCAGAATTGTTAATATTGTTAGAGAAAATGTGAAATTCCGCTAGAGATAAATGGTTTAATTTAAAAACAGTTGGAATTTCTTAGGGAAAAACGCAGTTTATTGAACTATATATTGCATATATAGTTTATGGCTGATTAATACAAAATACCGATATTTTCATATTGATATACAATGTCAGGTAGCATCAAAAAGGGATCTATGTGAAATTATATGTGCATATATGCATATATCTGTATTAATTTACCTATTCATGAACATAGAGATCTGTGGTACTAATTATTGTCTTAAATGTGTGTTTAATCAAAAACATTGCTTATAATCTAGGTTTTATTTTCAAAGTTTTAGCCTAACAACTTACACCTAAGTAGATAAACATTGGCATTTTTTACACATCATCATTTAAAGACATCAAGTTAGAGTTTAACTTCTATATGTAGTTAGGCCTTTTATAACCAACACAAGCAAAATTAATAAAGACTGTATTCTTAGCAACATAATGGGCCAGGTGCAGTGACTCATGCTTGTAATCCCAGCACTTTGGGAGATTGAGATGCAGGATTGCCTGAGCCTAGGAGTTCAAAATCAGCCTGGAAAACATAGGGAGGCAACATCTCAACAAAATAAAAGTAATGTTAATATTAAAGGATTTATTAAAAGGCCAAATAATACATGGATGATACAATATAGAATCATTTAAAGTTATTTCCTCCAAATAAAATAATGAGAGCTTCAGGAAAGCAGTATCTTCAGCATTTATCATATTACCTGTGAAATGATGAAAAATATGCTAAAACAGGAACTGTGTATACTCCAGAGAATTACAGGTAAAACCCTAGAGAAAGGTTAACTTAACCACTGATTATAGTATATTTTTTATTCCAAACGGAATGGCCTTTTCGTCTACTGATATGTCACTATTACTAAAACAAAAACCCATTAGAATTAGTTGCTCCACATTGAATATCAAATGAACACTCCATTATGAATATAATCATATAACATTGGAAATAGCTATTCAGTACAATTTGCCAGGATTTAGCTACATGATAACCATTACTATTAATAAAATATGAGGCTAAATCGCCTTGATGCATTTGACCTTAAGAACATCATGCTCCTACCTTCATGATAAAAGCATCACAATGTACATCTTTTTCCACAATAGACAGAGAAAATAAGTTCCTATCACTGCAACACAGTGTGATCTAGTTTTTACAGCTTCCTCTGTGCAGGCAAAAAAAAAAAAAAGATATACAGGTAATTTATTTAGAAGATCTTGATTGCCCTGAATAAAAAAGTAGTTCAGGTAATAAAACAAATCACCTTCACCTGCTTTCACTGAAGTCCAGGTTAAATTAAAAAAAAATATTTTTGTAACCCAATTGCATTGGTATTTGTATCTCTTTGAATAAAACTTTTATCTAATTTACATGTGTACAATTACACAGCTTATGCCTATGCTGAAAAGTGAGCCAGGACACAGCATTCTGTGGTTACTATTTAACCTTTAAGTTTTCTTGACTCTCATTTTTTCCCTCAAAACTTATGGTTAATGGGAATATTGTTCACGCTTTGACTAAAACCCAGAAGAATCACAAATAACTGGTACCATAGCATTTGATGACATGATATAATTTTTGACATGTATTTTCCCATTTTATAGATTTATCTGTGTTTACTCCTTAACCCACTGTTTACCTGGTGTCAGTGAACTCTAAAACACAAAATACATGGGGATGGAGAATAAAAAAAAAGAAAAGAAATGAATAGCACACTAACCTTTATATACATAAGATTGTAAAGCCATGATTTAAAAGTAGATGCATTGGTATTTTAGTAAGAAGTTCTTAATTCTCATAAACAAGAAGATTGTATTGTGCAAGCAGGTACACTGCACACAAGAAGTAATTGAATTAATTCTAGCTTACTACTGTTGCTTTCACCAGTAAACTAGGTAACTAATGTGACTTACAAAGTAACTTAATTAACAATGGATAAAACTGATTACAAGGTCTTTGAGTATATTTTGAACCAAATGTGATTATAAAGAGTACATGTGTATTTTTTTATTTGAAAATTTTCATCATTTTTAGAAAACTGAGTTTGGTTTTGTAAAGAAAAAAAATGCAGGTTGAAACACAATAAAATTTTAAAGCATTTATTTGAGCAAATAGCTCTGAACCAGAAGCAGTTAGGGAACTCCAAGTAGGGAACACCTGAGAAGACTTATTGGGCCAACACAGAACTAACGCAAAGGAAGTATTTGTCTGGTGACAGTTGCCTTGCTTGGTCTATCCTATTGACAAGTCCTTAGTTAAATAGTTATAAATTTGTAGGCTGCTTCTGATTGATTGAGCTTAAGTCTGATTTTTCTTTAATATAAGCATTTATAAGAAATAGCTCAAGTTATGTATTGCTTGTTTGCAATTTAAGCAAAGTTAAGGTTATTTTCAAGGTTTAACTGGCTTTATCTTCTCAAGGGACTCTTCAGGACTTGTTCTCATTTTATTAAAGGTTGGTGCAAAAGTAGTTGTGCAAAAGTAATTTTTGCCATTAATGGCAAAAACCACAATTACTTTTGCACCAACCTAATACTTGAATAGTTTGAAGTTCATTTTGGAATGTGGTAGAGAAGACATCCTTGCAAAAATTATTTTTTTGTTTAAAAGTGATTATTCTAGACAATAATAAACAATACAATTTAAAATCACGAGGTTTTTTTCAACCATTTACCTTTCTGGATGTAATAGTTTGGTTTTGCAGAGACAGTTCAACATGAATTTTGATTTTTGTCTTCTATCTGGAAATTCTTTTTTTTTTTTTTTTCCAAAGTCAGTTCCCTTTATGCAATGATTTTCACAGACCAGAAATACAAAATATAGGCCTGGCCTCACGTGACCTCTGCTGCAGCAACTTGAACAGGACAAGCGACAGCTACAGCCTTAAGGTCGGGAAAGTAAGATGAGGATTTGGATCCTGCATTGCCCTGCCTTCCACCCTATCTCTCCCCAAATAATAAACGGCCATCCTTGGGAAGCAGCAGAGTTAAGACATCTCCCCACTTCCCTAGTGACATAAACACAAGCAGTAGAGCATGTTCAGATGGCACAGAATCCAGGGACTACATTTCATGAGGAGAATCTGGTACCAAAATATGGGTGGGGAGTCCGGGGTTGTGAGAACGCAAGTGCAAAGAGGGGAACCTTCCTCCGTTTCTACTCATCGGATCCTGACGCTGAGTCTTCTGAGCTGGGGGGAGTACTGGCTAGTTCTTCTTCTTCAGAGTCCTCACTCTGCCTCCTCTTCTTTTTGCTCTTGTTCTCTCCAGAAGAGCTCTCATCACTAGATGCAAACTCTTTGCTTTTGAAGCTCTCGCTTAGCTGCCTTGAGGCCGACTTGGATGATGAGTCCCTAGAGGGCGTGGACTTCTTTTCCATCTTTACCTTTACTTTCTTCTTCTTTGACTTGTCCCTTTTAGAAGACTCGCCTCAGCCACCTTCATATTCCTTCGTGGCTTCTTCATATTCCCTCCTGGCATCCTCAGCCTTGCGATCCCACTCCCCTTTCTTCTCTTTGGACATTCCCTTACAGATCTCGCCAGCCTTCTTGGAAAGATCAGTGATACTGATGCCAGGATGGCCTGACTTGATCTTCTCTCAGCTGGCATTGAGCCACAGCATGTAGGCAGACAGGGGCCTCTTTGGGGCAATGGGGTCTTTGCCTTTCTTCACCTCCACAGGCTTCTTTTGGCTCTTGCGGTCCTTGGCCATCTTGGCCTTTTTGAGCTGTTTCTGCTTCTTCTCATCCCAGTCACTGTCACCCTCATTACTGCAGAAGCTGGCAGAGACATTGCTGCCTTTTCAACTTGTATTACAAGCTTACCACTTAGGAAGTTCAGACTGTAACTATTATTTTCCCAGTTATTTGAATAACCACCCCCCATGTTTTTTCCCATGCCATTTAGGCTAATTTTATTTTTTTCCCTCAATATTTTAACTAGCTGAACTCCTTATGAAGGAGAAAGCATAATGAACTGGAATAAGAAATGTTCATTCCACTTTTAACTCTGTAACTAGCAGAGTAAACCCTGGCCATATTTGATTTGTGGTTTGCTCATTTATCTTGTTTCCTTACCCTTTTTTGGTTCTTAGTACCTGCATATAACTAGGCAGTAAAAAAATGGCAACATGTTGTCCTAGAATGAACACTGTGAAAGCGGTCCCTTAATCTTGTTCTATGCCTTGCTTTTTGGCTAACGAGATGGTCTGTGGAAAAGCTTCTAAACTCTTTTAAGTCAGAGTTGTCTTATATGCAAAATGAGTAAACTAAGTTAGGTTGTTTCTATGGCACATATTAATGATAATATCTTATAACATGCTGTGTGGTCTGTCTACATCCATTCTAGATAACATCAGTTTTTCCTGGTCATTTAATTTTACCATCTACAATAACCAGGTAAAAGAACAACATCTTTAAAAGGTATTTAGTTTCTATGCTAATGATGCCATGATAACTGAATTACCGGCACAGCAGGAGAGATTCTACTTTAATAACTAGTCTTTTAATAACATGCCTGTAACATCAATGCTATTCTTAGTGCCTCTGAGCAACTTTTCTACAATAATATTATGATCTTTTAAACTCTGCAGAATATAAAGTTTAATATATAGCTCATAAAACTCTGTTGATACAGAGAACTTGAACTCTATTATCACAAAGAGATTCCCAACAAAGCGAACTGAAGAGAGGCAAGAAAGTTGATGGTCCAGATGATGAGAGAGGTATCAGCAGTATCTTCAGATGACTTTTTCTAGAGAGCCTATAGAATCACTTCATCTAAAGCTATATAACCTTGTGTCTTATGGTCATCATCTCTCCTATAAATTGGTACATTAAAATACTTGCTTAGAGAGATCAACATGGTAGTGCTACTCTGCTTCTTAAAACATTGGCAAAAGTGAGCATAGCAAAATTGTCCAGAAAAAAAACCACTATTTTATCATACAATCCACTTAAACTCTTTAAAGTAACTTTTAATCACAAAGAATATAATGCTCAAAATGTAAATTATGTACTGTTTTATTTTTAGTGTCTTCTAATGTAAATTATTTTCCAAACACACAAACACAGTTTCAATGTTAAATAAAGGCATAAAAGTGCATAATCCCTTCAAAGCTTCTTCCTATTAAACTTGACTTTCTGTTTAAAATGGAAGATGGAATTGAAATGACTGTGGAAGTATGAATCAAAAGACATAAAACTAATATGCCAAATGAATTCATTAATTTACATTTTCTTATATGATAGACATTGAGAGCTAATATTTTTAAAAAATATTTTAAATACTTTTTATTTTATTATTTTTTAAAACCACAGAACATGTCCTGATTTGGTTTCCTGGAGAACAAGTGTTTTCAGAATGCAAAAAAATTAACATATTGCTCTAGTATGATAGAAAAATAGGCCATTTATCATCTTGTTTTAAGGGAAAGTTCATGGATCAGCTCCTGCATGCTGTTTGTGAGTGGGTTTTCTACACTTTGCATTGCTAAATAATTGAGAACATTAGCTCCCAAACCATGAAAAATTCATTTTAACATGATGTATTATTAATCAATTTAATTTAAAGTGATCTGGAAAGTTCCAATTTCAGTTGTGATGCTTGAAGATAAATCCAGGCAGTGTTTGGTTCTTATTAAAATTGTGTAACTCCTTATTGTCCGATTTTTATTGTTTTATAAGTTGGTCAAACACTATGAAAGAGGCATAAAAAATGACAGGGTGACCCTCTCAGTCTACAAGTTCATACACCTATATGTATTTATAAGGAGCAACTATAAGAAATTTAGTCCACTCTTTATTGATTAGCAATATTTCCCTGCCATTTTAAAAGTCTACACTGATGCACACACATACACAGGAATATAATTTAAATACTATGTGCAAGTCTTTTTCTTTAGTGCTGACAAATTACTGATTAGGCTCACATTTTGCCTCCCCAGTTTGATAGAGATTATGAAGTCATTATTAAAATATTTAGTACTTATGAGATAAAGTTGGAATAATGATCATTGCTAATGAACTCCTATGTCACTATGCAATATCAATCTGAGATTAAAAGTAGGGTCCCATTAACACATACATATGCAAAGTCACTGTGATATCTAGTCTTTTTCAGAGCCTTTTGGACATTTCTGAGAGGTGTACATTTCTCTCACATAATTTCTCTTACCCTTCATTTAGTCTCAAGACTTTGGATGCTTGCAAAGGCCCCATTTTTATTGAAGTTCCATTACCTCAATATGGGACTTACTGAAGTGACAAAGTTGCACTGGAGCCCTTTGATGTACTTCTGGCCCCTTCATTTATTCTATATTTGAGAAGCACAGGAGATTCTGGTTATTTGATTCTTACAGAGATCAAAGACATGTTTCCTTGTGCCCTAATGATTTACAGAGCTTAGAGAGAGGAAAATAAAAGAGGTCTTTTGGTCTTATTTTCATGTAATCTCTCCACACCTATCATTCTCTAAGTCCATGACAACTGTGATGTCATGAAGACCTGGCAAGGAAAGAAAATCAGTTGATAAAAAGCATTTTATACCCAGTATCACCCATCTCCTTTCACAAAGAGGCAGTGCAATTGTACCAAGCTTATGTGTCCAATTGCTCCCCTTAGGATAAGTTTTTTTTTGTTGTTTTTTGTTTGTTTTGTTCTGTTTTCCCCTCATAACACTCTAGATTTTTTAGGACTGGAAAGTACTGGAAGGTTCAGTCCAGGAGATATATCACAAACTATCTGAACTATAGTAGTAAACAAAACTCTGCTATATACAGTTGAAAATAGAGAGATGAGTGTTAATTTTATAATACTTTGGAAACTAGGTATAAATATCTATTTACAAGCATATAGACGAAAAGGACCAAAATAGGCATGATATGGTTTGGTCGTGTCTCCACTGAAATCTCAACTTGAATTGTTTCTCCCAGAATTCTTTGTCTTGTGGGAGGGACCAGGGGCGGTAATTGAATCATAAGGGTTATTCTTTCCTGTGCTATTCTCCAGATAGTGAATAAGTCTCATAAGATCTGATGGGATTATCAGGGGTTTCTGCTTTTGCTTCTTTATCATTTTCTTTTGCTGCCACCACCTAAGAAATGCCTTTTGCTTCCTGCCATGATTCTGAGGCCTCCCCAGCCAAGTGGAACTGTAAGTCTAGTAAAACCTCTTTTTCTTCCCTGTCCTGGGCATGTCTTTATCAGCAGTATGGAAATGGGCTAATACAGTAAATTGGTACATACAGTGGGGCATTGCTGAAAAGACACCCAAAAATATGGGAGTGACTTTTGGAGTCTGGATAACAGGCAGAGGTTGGAACTGGGTAACAAGCAGAAGTTGGAACATTTTGGAGGGCTCAGAAGACAGAAAAATGGGTGAAAGTTTGAAACTTCCTAAAGACATGCTGAATAATTTTACCCAAAATGCTGATAATGACATGGACTATAAGGTCTAGGCTATGGGATCTCAGATGGAGATGAGGAACTTCTTGGGAACTAGAGTGAAGGTGACTCTTGTTGTTTTACCAAAGAGACCGGCAGCATTTTTACCCTGCCTTAGAGATTTGTGGAACCTTGAACCTGAGACAGATGATTTGGGGTATCTGGCAGAAGACATTTCTAAGCAGCAAAGCATTCAAGAGGTGACTTGGGTGCTGTTAAAGGCATTTTGTTTTATAAGGAAAGCAAACATAAAAGTTTGGAAAATTTGCAGTCTGACTATGAGATAGAAAAGAAAAACCTATTTTCTGGGAAGAAATTAAAGAGAATATCTCAAGGCCATGTCAGAGACCTTCGTGGTGGCCCCTCCCATCACAGTTCTGGAGGCCCTGAAGGAAAATGTGGTTTTGTGGGCCAGGCCCAGGGTTCCCATGTTGTTTGCAGCCTAGGGACTTGGTGCCCTGTGTCCCAGCCACTCCAGCCATGGCTAAAGCTTGGGCTGTGGTTTCAGAGGGTTGAAGTCCCAAGCCTTGGCGGTTTCCACATTGTGTTGAGCCTGTGGGTGCACAGAAGGCAAGAATTGAGGTTTGGGAACCTCTGCCTAGATTTCAGAAGATGTATGAAAATGCATGGAAGGGCCCTCATGGAGAACCTCTGCTAGGGCAGTGCAGAAGGGAAATGTGGGGCCAGAGCCCCCACAGAGAGTCTCTAGTGGGGCACCGCCTAGTGGAGCTGTGAGAAGAGGGTCATGGTCTTCCAGACTCCAGAATGGTAGGTCCATGAATAGCTTGCACTATGAGCCTGAAAGAGCCACAAACACTCAGTGCCAGCTTGTGAAAGCAGCCAGGAGGGAGGCTGTATCCTGTGAAATCACGGGTGGAGCTGCCCAAGACCATGGGGGCTCACCTCTTGCATTAGTGTGACTTGGAGTCAAAGGAGATCATTTTGGAGCTTTAAAATTTGACTCCCCTGCTGGATTTCAGACTTACATTGTTTCTGTAATCCATTTGTTTTGGGCAATTTCTCCCATTTTGAATGGCTGTATTTACCCAATACCTGCACCCCCATTGTATCTAGCTAGTAAGTAACTAGCTTGCTTTTGGTTTTGCATGCTCACAGTTGGAAGGGACATGCCTTGTCTCAGATGAGCATTTGGGCTGTGGATGTTTGGGTTAATGATGAAATAAATTAAGACTTTGGGGGACTGTTAGGAAGGTATGATTGGTTTTGGAATGTGAGGACATAAGATTTGGAGGGGTTGGCAGGGGAAATTAACTGGTTTGGCTGTGTCCCCACTGAAATCTCAACTTGAATTGTATCTCCCAGAATTCCCACGTTGTGGGAGGAACCCAG